TCTTTCTTTCTTTCTTTCTTTCTTTCTTTCTTTCTTTCTTTCTTCTTTCGTTCCTTCATTCTTTCGCTCTTCCTTTCGCTTTCTCTTGATAGGCCTAGGACGTATTGGTTACGGTGGGACTTCGCTGCCCTTTGCTTCCTCTAATTAGAGCTGCTAAACAGGACCAAAACAACAGAAACCAGAAAGAACGATTTCCTCAGTAAGCCCCGGAGATTGCACAGCCTTTACCCAGCTACTTTTGTTACTACTTACTTTATGCTCTTGTTCAATAGGTTTGCAAATTCGATCCAGTAGAAATACTAAAATTACTATAACTCCTTGCTGGCTCTTGTTAACACTGTTATCAGCGAACGTATCACTGCGAAAGACCACTTTCTAACTAATTCTAAAAGTCGTCTGTTCTGAAGTTTTGATTTTAGAGAAAAATGGAACTATCCATGCAAGCAGGCATAAAGCGTAAACTTCCTGTCTCCTTCGATGCTTTCCGGGTTTCAGCTTTCTCTCATAAGAAATTTTTAATTTTTTTTATGCATTTTACCTACTTAATGTAGCGTTCGGAATGTCCAGTAAATGGCTAACTGCACTTTGTAAATATATTTTCGCATTTTGACGAACGAAGCCCAGACATCAGTTGTACAAATATTCATATGTACATATATGGAGGAGAAAACTTGAGATACGAAGAACTATTTGAGATCTAATCAAAGTATTCGAATAAATAATAAAAACCAGTCAGATAAGCGTGAGACTGTTAGAGGACAAGCTCTTGTGATTCTCGTAATTTCCTAAACTCTGAAAGTGCCCGAGAAGATCGATGTTATAGACGATAAAGGAAGCAGGGCTGAATGTAGGCAGGAAATCAAGAGTTTTTAGAAAGAGGCATTAGATCTGGTGCGTAGTAGTGTACACATACTCGTGCCGGATGTTATGATAGAGAAGTAGATAGGAAAAGTGTGAGCTGGTTCGCTAATTTATGACAGCACAAGTTTGATAAGGCCTTTTCGAGCTTGTGAAAGCACTCGGAAAACCAGGTCCATTTTGGATCTCCTCTTTGAGTACCTTTAAGTTACCTACGGCATTCCCTATGTAATTCAATATCCAATACCCAAGCATTTGGAGAAGCATTTGAAGGGAAAGTACCCTAGGAACGATTAGCCCAACTTCGTCAACCAAGTTTAATGAGCTTTCGATTCTGCGAATCATAATCGAAGCGATTTCTCCTCTTATCTATTGCGCAAATCCACATTTGTATACATAATTCTTCAGCTNATTCAATATCCAATACCCAAGCATTTGGAGAAGCATTTGAAGGGAAAGTGCCCTAGGAACGATGAGCCCAACTTCATCAACCAAGTTTGATGGACTTCCGATTCTGCGAATCATAATCGAAGCGATTTCTCCTCTTATCTATTGCGCAAATCCACATTTGTATACATAATTCTTCAGCTTAAAATGTCAGTTCCGAGGTTTGGAACCCTTCCTCCGAAATTATGACCACAGCGACCGGTAATTTGTGTTCTTAACTCATAAATCAGTTAGTAATCGTCACTTGTCTTTTGAAGCCTTTTCTAATGGGAGGGAGGGCCAGGAAGTTTCCGAACGTACAGTCCTGCCATTTGAATTGCCCTTTCATTCCGTGACTTGCTGTCGGTGTAATAACTTCCATCTTATCTTTACTTCGCCCTTCTGCAAACATCTCTTCGACTCAGCATTTCACTTGTTGACACATTCCTTGGTAGCCGTTCGCTTTCCGATTAGTAATGAAGACATGCTCATGCCTCAGCTGATTTAGAAATTTTCCTTCAGATCTTGAAAGGTCGCCTGCTTGAAGAGGAAACCTCCCTCTACTGTTTACCTCATATTTTCCTTCTCCGCACCTTTTTCCGCTCCTCTGCAGAATTTCCTTGCCATTTTCCTCTGAGTTTTATTCGTTCATTCTTTCTAATCCACAACGATCAAGAGAACAATCGAAAAGGAAATTGCATCCATAATGTGGTCCTTTTTTGATGTCAACTGCGATTTCCGTAATTTTGAAGAGAATAGAAAGGCGGCCGAGAAAAGAAGCCAAAAAGAGCAGGAGTTTTCATCTTAGGGAAATGACACCTACGCATAGGTACGTAGGTTGCCTTTTATATTTCGGGATTAGAGAATAAAAATAAATATTAAACATTGAAAATCGCTTTACTGCCTTTCAAAAATCTCTACATTAAGATCTATACACTTTTGCATGAGTTCGAAGCAACTGTAGAAGCACTTTTGCCAATTCGATTAGGGTAACCCTAAAACATGCATTCTGAACGCATCAACGGCTTCTTCAGGTGTCTAAAAACGTTGAACTACCATTTTTTTTACGTACTTTTTACGTACAGGATAAGAAGAAGTCACCCGAGGACCATGCGGCTGATGACTTCTCAAATCGTTGTTTTGAGTGGTAAAAAAAGCAGTTGATTGAGCCGATGTGTGGGGGCTCGCATTACCGTGGTGAAGAGTGATCCGTCTTCGGCAGTTGGTCGACGGTACTAGTCGAACACAGTCGCCTATTTGGCTACTTACTCCTTTTGGTGTCTAGCTGGGTAACAGTCCTTGTCACGAGACGGAAACTTCAACCATCATCTACCGCTGATTAAATTCCAAGAGGAGGAAAGACCAGGTTAGCCACTGAAGGACTCAAAATTCAGCAATTGGATTCGGGGAAATGAGAAATGAGACTCAACGTTAGGGAACTCTTGAAACTAATAGAACCATTCTACCCAAAAACTGAAAGAATTCAAAAAATAATAGAATGTAAAATCGTGTCGAGGTATGGGAGAATCAATTGCCGTCATGTTAAATGCCAGATTAAAGAAGAGCTTGAAGTGGTCCAACAAAGGCCGAAGACGACAGTGACACCTACTCGTCATACCAAATCAAACAAACCGTAAAATTCGTCATGCGCAGCTAAAGCTTTTAGAACTGGTGAATGGAACAGAATAGAGCTCACGGTGTTGTTTCAGCTAGATAGGTCCAGTATACCATCCGATGGATTCGTTGTTCAAGTGCTTGTNGTGACACCTACTCGTCATACCAAATCAAACAAACCGTAAAATTCGTCATCCGCAGCTTAAGCTCTCAGAGCTGGTGAATGGAACAGAATAGAGCTCACGGTGTTGTTTCAGCTAGATAGGTCCAGTATACCATCCGATGGATTCGTTGTTCAAGTGCTTGTTAAACACAGAAGGGATCAGAAGGTCCGACTCCTTACTTATCGTCCTAATGCTCTCCCACTGAGGCCTTTACAGTTTTTTTTTAATTTTTTCACTTCAAAGCTTAGTACCTTAACGTCTAGAAATAGATCCTTCATTTGACAATCAGACCCTTTTCAAAAAGGTAGAGGCATTTGAGTGAATGCATGGCTCATGCGTTGACTTCGCCAGGCCACGGGGATGTTCTTCCTACTCTTCTCTCTTACAGAAAAAATATGGATTTAGGATAAAAGATAAGGGAGAGGAGGAAACCAAACTCAATCAATGCTCGCCCGAACCACCTACGTGGATCGCAGGGACCCTAGTTATGGCATGGAAAACTCCATGTCTTCGTTTTATTCGGGATGAATTGATTTCTTTTACAAGTAGCATATCAGTATTCATATCTTTTCCTACTCTTGGTTGGTTACAAGCTACTTTGAGGGCGAAAAATTAGTTTGCTTAGGTAATATTTGAGCTTTTTGACCTGGATGCCGGCCAGGCTAGCTTATGGTAAAAATAAATCCCCTTTGATTTTCCTTTGGAAAAAGAATGTAGAATGTGTGAAATGGGAGCAATTCGTGCTAGTCCAGTGCGTGAGCAACCTAGATTTCACAATTCGCTTTCTACTGACAGGAGAATTTCAACCTGAAGGCATCGATCGCAATGGAAACAGACTTGTAAGAAACCGTGCTCCAATGGACATTACGACGCAATCGCGCGCGTACTGCGAATTTTCAATCGCATGCCCGAGAAACACTCTGCCTCTGCTGGAAGATAAAATTTCATTTCGGGCTCTCCATTAGGTGACTGTGGGAGATCAGCTCCTCCTAGATGTCTACTGTTAACGAGGAGGATGAGTTGGTAGAAGACCGATTTGACGACCAGAGTTTCGAGGATGCACCGCTCTCAGATGTGGAGTCAAATTGTGAGTGTAGTTTGGTTGATTGGTCTATGTTTCTTCTAGACTACAACGTTTAGTTGACGAGGACGACTTGAAAAGCGTCGATGATAACCAAGTATATGAAGAACTTCCCCTACAACAGTATTGCCCTAGTAGCAATTGGTGAGTGGTTTCGTCAGCGAAACAAATTGATGCGATTATCTCTGGTCGAATGAAGTTGATGTGCAGAATCGCTAGATTCTCACCATTGAGCTATAACAAGCGGCGATGGAATAGATATTTCCAATGGTTGCATACTTGCAATTTTCAAAAAAGTCCTAATTGTGATTCACTCCGAATATCATTAACTTAGGGGGTGTCCAATTCTGTGTCTACGCCCACCCTGGTTGCAAATTTCTCAGTTCCAGGAATAGACCTGCTCTCTCAACAATTCCAGAAGAGTCAAAGACGGATGATATAGCTACCAGTGGTTGGTTTTGTGATGTGGATTTTTTTTTTATTTCCTGACTTGAACATTCCATTCTGCAAGTTCTTTTAATGAATGTTATCTAGTGTTAGCATTAAATACGTTGTTATTCCTTTTAAGAGTACCGTACTTGTAATTTCTAATCGTTTTGTCCTGCCTAGAAATCTCCCAAAGGTCGCTAGCCATTATTCCAAACCAGTCTGATGAACAAAGCTCCAGTTATGGCGAATTTTCTATAACGCGAGCGTTCTCTGTCAAGAGCAGCGAGTTTATCACGGATCGTTAGTCTTTTCAATTGAGTTGACCATTATACAGTTAGTATAGCAGCAATTTACAGAGAAGGCTTCCGATATTCTTCAGCGAGAAGAGGAGTCCTTCATGCGTGGTCATGGGCGGTTCATTCCTGATGATCCAAGGTATCCGAACTTCCCTTTCATATAATGTTTGATGTCCTTTTTTCCTTGACGTGGAGTGTTTTTGTTTCAGGTTCAATAGAAGCCATTTTGAAAAGGAAAACAGCTGGGAACCAAGCATCATCGACCAATCATCTTTTCAAATTGCTGATAAAACCTGCTCTCCTTCTAGTCTTCCTGTGCCAACGGCAAGTTTTGTTGTGTCGTGCCATCTGAATGTCTTGATAGAGCTCGGTCTGTACTGGTATGAGAAAAACATGAATCGGGCCAAGTGATACGATTACTCATCAAAGAAATAAGGAGCCCTGTAAAGGAATAAGAGTGTGCCTTTCTGTTGAATATACTATTTCTGTTAAAGGCGGTTGTCGTCTCAGCTCATTCAGCAGAAAATGAACTGCCGAAATCTATTCAAGAGCCAGCAAGCGGTGATGTTAACGTGGCAGCTGATTGCGACATCATTGACAAGGTTTGTGGCCTTGTAATTCACACTTTCCAGAGCTAACTGATAGGATTAAATGTAGTTTCAATTTTCCAGCATGTCCAGTTTCGCGCCACCACTCCCACTGGAGACAACGTTGCAACGGGAACCGTTCTCACTAATCTTACTAACAAACAAAGTGATGACAATGTGGTAAGCTTTTGGACCAACTCTTCTTCTCGTTTTATTTTATATTACTGAGACTCTCCAGCCTGCTTTAAATGCCATACGGTCTACTCCTCAGCGATTCCCAACCAATCATCCCCCATCATTACTGACCAACGAATCACCCAATCCTAATAGCGATTCCACAATCGGCGGGGTACAGACAAGCACTCCTGTCTGTGAGTTATTCTTGTTCTTGTTCGGTGATTTTCACGATTAGATTTGTTTTGTTGCAGCAGTCGTTGCGAAACTGGCCTCTCGTACAAGACGACTTGAGCTGGCTGAGAACTTTCATGGCGTGTCAGTAATTTTACCTGAAGGAGAGTCTTTGAGAGAAGGTACTTTTTTGTTCTCGCATATCTCCATCGGAATCGCTTTTATTAGACATACAGGTGCTGTTTCGTCTTTTCATCAGACACAGAAACCCATCGTATGCGGCACACTGCTGAAATTGCATAAATTGTTCTAAGGCTCTGCTACTGTCGCCTCATCTGATAGCTTTCTTTGAGTGGCGAT